CACGGCAAGCGAGCATTCCCGGCGAATTCCAACCCCTTGTATCCCGAGCATCGGTTGGTAGCGAGCGGCAGGGATCTCAGAGTTTTCCAAAATACCACCACAGCAAAAGTGCGGATTCCGGGTGGGAATGTGACCGAACCGAAAAGCGCATGCTGGAGGAGCACCACTAAAGTGTATGGAATTGAAACGAAACGCTGAATATTAAGACTACAAAAAGATGTAGAGCGGAAGCCTTTGGATGGCTGGCGAATGCATTTGTATGGAAATCTCTACTGGGACCAGCACCAGACACCAGGTTTACCGACAAAAATAAAACAAAACTGAAATTGCACAAAAAGCAATTTGTACATTCTTTAAATGCTACCTGGGAGAAATTCAAGGAGTAAAATTAATTTGTTTACGTGCATTGAGAAAAAATATATACATTTCGAGGAAAATACGAATCGTTGCTTGCTAATTAATATCATTTCTATAATTAAATTTTCAAGTATTCATTTTTTGTCGTATCTCATTCAATCGTCATACAGACACAAGCATCATAGGGTACACACTAGGTTGCCAACGCAACAGCAGCTGGAACCGCATGAGAACATATAATAAACCATAATTAACGTTTTAATTATGACTGGACCCTGTACAAGAGTCGAGTGCGTGAAAAGAGTTCTCGACTACTCGTAGACTCTAGAGACGGTAGTCCACCCAACAACCACCACAGTTGACTTGCCTGAAGGAAAATGAACATAGACAAAAGTACTGAATAAAAAACTGAGGTTAATAATGTATTATCAACCCCTTTTGAAGATTGTTTTTTTTCATTGTATCTATGTGTGGTATGTCAAAGAATGATGTATGAATTTCTAACCCCGAAACTCTTAACAAGAGAGACCTTTCGCAAACAGGCTTGTAAGTTTTACAAATTTTCAGGCTCCGCGCTGAAATTCCAAAAGCTCAAGATCAACATATGAAAAGTTGTACACGACGCACGCGTTCGCAGTTCGTAAGCTTTCATGTCGTCTACGTCGATTCTCTAAAAGTCTAAAGTTTGCCACGCTTTTTCTACATTCCTTCGCGACGCGCTCGGAAAATAAGATTCGAATGCTCAAAGGGTGTCGTCATCACAGCGTGCGCGCCGCCATTGTCGTCCGATAGCAGATTATAGTTGAGACGGGCGTCATTTATAAGTTTCTTCTTGCTGTTTAGTACTTTTGTGCTTTCCGCGCTCCACGCGCACATCTTTTACTTGCCGCACGCTTTGTTACACATTCTTTTCGTCGTCAGCCTCAATGGGAAACATGTTATCACACAGACGTAAAAGTCTAACCTAGATCTCCAGATACAGGTTTGAATTTGATCAGAATAAATTTGTAAAAACGGAAAACGGAAAAATCAAAAGTTGAATATTTTTATTTATTAGTTAAATCACCACTAAGAATAATTTAGATATTATTATACACAAAAAACGAAAATAATAAAAATAAGCAAAATATAAACAAATTTATGTAGTTGCAAATAATATTTGATTATCTTGAGTTGAAAAGGTCAAATGCGTCATAATAAAGTCGCAGAAACAAATTGAGTTAATAATTTTCTGTTCTATCATTCTGTTTTTAAGTTTACGGTGAGATCATCACGGTTTTTATTGTTTTATATTACTTTTACGTCAAAATTACATTACATAAGAGAATTTAATAATTTCCCGTATTTTTCAGAGTTTTATAATAAAAATAGAGAGAGAAATATCAAATAAATCTTTTTAACACATGTTGGTTAATAGTTTTAACTATTTCTGATAAGATTAAAACTTTTCTAATTAAATTTGTTGAATTAAAGTAATATACAAGTTCAGCAGTAAAAAATCAGTGAACTAATGCAATTAAAATATCACAAACAATTTAAACCGCGATTGTTTTCACAATTTATAACTTTTACTAATTGATGTAAGTTGTTTTTCGGAATAAAGTTAAATTTGAAAAATGCAGCCTGAAAATAATTAATCAACATTACAAAGTTCTCTAATATAATAATGCTTCGTGAGCAACCCATCACACAATTAATAACCCAGGAATAAGAAATACTTATGAGTAGCATGTCCAAAAATAAAATCTATTAGACATGCGTCGCATGACCAACTTGATGGGCATTAACAAGTTCATCCGTTTAATGCGTTCACACAAAGTGTCCACAAAAACAATGCATAACTTGATAAGTTCAAGATTAAAGTCAAGCAAAAGGCACATACACTCCCTGTATGCATACCAGCATGAGTCAACCCCTAGTATGCACAGCAGCACAACGCTTAAACACAAATTAGTAAACGACGAGTAAATTGCACGATGTATAAAGCGAAAGTCCGTCGTCCCTAGTGTTTAGTGTTTGGTTTTGCGCGCACAACATGCGACGTGTTGAACATGCGACGTGTGGTGATGACCCTGTTATAACATTACATTAGAGCTCCATTCATTAATAAGAGTTCCCTTTCATTGCCGCCCTCGCTGCCTGTTTCAATTGTGCGGTGAGTGCGCACCCGCGACGCGATAGAAAGATTTATTGCGGCGTGTGTTGCATGTTATGTATTGCACTCACAAGAATTCCGTGTCATTATGATCGCTATCAACTTAGAGTACAAGAAAATCGTTTTTCATAATTGTTCAAAATTAAAAACAGATTATATTATATATAATGTATTTATTCATTAGCTTATAATGCTGTAATGAATGAAATCAACAGAATAAGTAGTGTGAGTAACCACGCCCACTTTTACTTTGTTTGGCTCTCATCTCATCGATGAGGAGGTTTTTAGGTACCAGCTTCGAAACGAAAACAACTCTAGAGTATTAAGGCGTATTAAGACGTAAATTATATGCATGAGTTGCATATGCATGAAGCATTTTGAAGGAAAACACGAGTCAGTTTTATTGCACTATTAAGTAATTAAATTCTCCTACCAAGCTTCGTACTGTGACTTGTCGTGCTCGTGCCCATAAGTCTCCGGGTGTAATAAAGAACTGAACTAAAAGAGCATTAAAAAAAGCGCGCGCACACACCCTTGACGTGAACCGAAAGAAATTTCCCCGACGTCGAAAACATAGTGATTAGGAAATTATATTTCCGTTAGTTTCCGGTTTATTGCCGTACCGGCGGATATCTTGTCGCATGTGACGGTGGCGGCGACTGTCTGCGACTTCACGTGAAATAATGTTCGAATAATGTGGGGAAGATTGGGCAATGCACGAAGTAGTATTTTGGGGGCGGCGAAGACAACGCACGCACACCATACATTAACTTCTTGAGAATGAAAGAAATGTATATAAAAATACACTGATGTGTGTAAATATGGTTATTATCGAGCTCCCCTTTGCGTACATATCAGGACATCAACATCATTAAATGTTTTTGTGTACATTTGCGATTGTTTTTGGGTTTAGGCATTATTTAGTCGATAAACTGCTATTTATAAACTGCGAATGAGTATTTAATGCTTAGAAAAGTAAATTTCTACGTGGTTAAATGAGTACGTAATGATAACAATTATGTATTTCCACATTGTGCAGATTTGTACATTTGTAAACCCAGTATGCGCGTATTTGTGGTTGAAATTAGAGAATTATAAATGTAATAATAATGCCGGCGACTTTTCGGGCGCGACGCGGCCCAAAAATTTGAATTTTAAGTCAATTTCGTATTCATGTATTCCGCACAATCTCTCTGTGTGTCTCTCTGTACGTTCGTTTGTCGGGGAGAGAAATTGCCGACGAACGAAATGAGAGGTTGCGCGCGAGACGCCGGGACAGAGCGATGGCTTTTAATTTTTTCGGCGAGCGAAATTCAGGTCGGTCCTCGCAAGACTTTTTCCGGCAAGCTTTTCGCAATAAAAATGCAAATTCGACAGCAGGCACAGCGCGCGGTTTAATCTCGACCTCGGATGCGTTTGCGTACGTAATGGCTACACCAGCAGGTCGACAATAACAAATATTATATATGACAATACAAGAAATATGTCGTAGAATACAAAACTCGACAAACAAGTATTTTGTGTGTATTTTTTGTAATTTAAAAAGTTTTGATTGCTTGATGCCACAATAAAATACAAAATTATTACGTTTAGAGCATGTTTTTGTGATTAAGGATTGATTGATGGTTTACCAAGCACTAAATCCCTTGTCTGAGCATTATGGAAACTTCACAAGTAAGCCGCATAAGTTATGCTCCGCGAGTCTTTGATTCTGCGGTGTAATATTGCAGATTAGTTTGTAACAAGTATCTTCTCAAAGCAGGCCCGCATTAATTCGAAATTCATCAATAAATTTGATTTTTTATTAGATTAAAGATTCAAAAAAATCAAGGCACATTTGTGTTAGCCTAAATGATCCCGACACCCTCACTTACACTTGCCTTGCTCATCTTGCCGCCCCCGTGCGGTTAGCGCGCGTTTCTCGCCTTATGCTCTCCTCGTTAGCTATGATATTGAGATGGATATAATGCTCCGCAGGCTTCAGGTTTAGGATTCGAGGGAGAGATTTAAATGTTGCGGCGTTTGCGAAGGCGCGAGACCCCTAACAAGTTCCCAATTAATTTCCTAATTCAATAAAGGCAGCAACTCAGTTTGTAGTGAGTGTAGCTTCATGATCGACACAATATGAAATTAACACTGAAACAATTTATAATCTTTGGGAGAACGTAATTTATCTAAAGTTTTACTATTATTTCATGCCTCGTGCCGGTTTAAATCGTGTTCATTGGTATAATAAGGATGTTGTAAATTAAAAGTGTTCGTGTCCGACAAAGTTCGGACGATTAAACGAAATTAACTAAATATTTTTTGTCGCCCTCGGTTTCGGTTTTTATGACTTTCTTCGGTGCCGGGTTGATGCTTAATTGAGCGGAATGCTCAGTGGTAAAACACACCCCCTTTTTTTATTTGAACATTTCGCCTACTAATGATGTTTTACGTCAAACACTTGTAGATGCGGGAATATACCGACATTGAAATATAGACTAACCAGTGACGACGGTCAGGAGAAGCGTCAACGACAGCGGAAAACCACCGCATCTGCCGCCACCGTCGCTCCTGCTCCAGCACGCCGTGTTTAACATCCGGGTCAGCGGCATCCTTCGTCCGGCAACCATACAAGTTGTCTTAGGTTTTGATTCGATTCAAAAATCGTTTAGCAAATCCGCCACTGTGTTGGTGTTCACATTTAAAACACAACTCGCGCACCTTGCAATTCCTGCAATTGTATTTTATCACGAGTACGTAATTACATCTTCACTGGTTGGTGGTTGCGTTTGTGATTCTTTTAATCCAATAAGAGAATTACTTCACGAAGAAGACTTTGAAACTTTGCGCGGCGCGTGATCGCGCGTCCCGGAGAGCGTCACCGCGTCCTGCTGGCGAGAAGTGCGCGCGGAAACTGCTGTAGTTCTATCCCTTTCCACGCGCGAGGCTGCGCGTCGCCGTCGTCGGCGGCGGGCACGCACACGGCGCGCCGGTCGACGCCACTCCCACTCGCCGCCGCAGCCGCCGACGCCGGAGCGAAATCTCGCTGAAATCACCCGCTGCCGCCGCCGGCATACACGGTGGTCCCCGCCGCCGTCTCCACCGCTGATGTTCGTGTTAGGTGTTTTCTCTACACCACATTAACGATACCGCAATTTATCGCTTTTCGCTTTTTATGCATAGAACAGTTAAATTTTTGCGATAAATCACATTAAAATTAATTTCGATTCGTCTAAGACCAAGGGAAAATCTTAAAATGGTAGAAAATCAGTTGTAGGAAGTATTCGTGGAATGTCATCCATGTCGAAGTGAATTTAATTAAAAAGACGTAAAACAATTAAAGAAGTTTGGAAATGTTTAATCGTTTTTCTTTGCTTCAACTTGCTTCCAATTGATGTTCATCCTCGACATTCGACACCCTCGACGTAGTGTCAGTCAGTGCCAATCAGTTAAAAAGGCTTTCAGGTACAAAGTTTCATCAAAATCTTGCTGGGGGTGTGAAAAAATTCCAGACATTTTTAACAATCGCATGCACTGTCGACGGCTGATAGATAGCGGTTTACAAATTAAATTCTTAGATTCGTACTGAACACATATCTGACATCTGTTGGAGGCTAGCTGCAAAAAACAAAAATTATATTTTCATTTAAGCCCTATACTTAGTGTGATTAATAGGTGTAGGCAATCGTTTAAAACTTAAAAGGATTTCTTTTTTTTGCACACTTTTTACATTTAAGCTGAACTTACTTATCCTATACTTTTTCTATATTCGTGCGTGTAGCCAACAGAGAATTGTATTAACGTAATGGTTTAACAAAAAAGCAGCATAATTGATTGGGAATTTTTATTAGGAGTTTTTTCACTCCTATAACAATCTGACTGTGAAAGCTTTTTGTCTGCAGCGGTAAATCAAACCCAATTTCAGAAAAAACACAAACTTAACGAGTATTATATAACTGCTTATACTTTTCCATCAGATACACAAAAACCCTTTAGTTTTATAATCTTCTAATGTAGGTACTATAATTACATTTGCTTGTTTTACTCACAACCCTAATATTTAAGTAGAGTCATTCAGTTTCAAAATCAACATTCACTTTGCGAATAGTTTAATTTAAAGCAAACACTTTACAATTTTCCTATTAATTGTTATGCATTCACAAGACCAGCCTGCAATACATTATTTTAATTAATTTTGTTACTAAATACAGGGAAATTAATATAAACACATGTTGGGCCATTACTCCAACCCAAAACTCAAAAGAAAACATGAATGCTACAGTACGAGTAGTTATTATAGGTTAACGCAACTGAATATACCGTAAGTATTTTGGGAAAGTATTTTGGGAAGCCGCGATTATAAAGTTTTGAATATTAGAAGATTAAATGTGGCAATGAGACTCACGGGAAATTTTGCAAAATGTGCTTTGCTTGTAATATTGGTGTTTAGTATCTGAATTTGTCATGAAAGTGATTTTAGCAAATAGCTTTCTACTGTTTTAATAACAAAGCATTTTTGATGAAAATTTAACATGTGTTGTAAAACCGAACAATGTTGCCATGAATATTCAATCGAATATTAATGTTAAGCGGCTCGAAGTTAATAATTTTCGGAATATTTTAGCGTCAGCTGTTTTGCAACGCTCCACGACAAGCAGACTGCAGACGAAAACTAGTGCCAGCCGCTGATAATTTGGCTACGTCAATATTAGCTCGCGTTGCTACTTTTAATCAAATGCAGTTATTTTAGTTCGCAAACTTTTTAGTTTTTAGCGCGTCTGAGCAAAAAAATTTCAGAAGTGTTCGTTTTTTGCTGTTACTATGAAAATCTTGAAAGTAAATAAGACAGAGCGATAGAAATAAATGCCGTGCGGCCCCGAAGATGCACGCGACGTAATCTAACCATAAAGTAATCATCTCTCCATCTCGCCGCCGCCGACCAATGTGGGTGGCATTGTCTCAGCGTCGCGAAAATGACTTGGAACTTGCGTTTATGCCGCGCGCCTCATGAATTATTTATGGCTCATGGGAAATTCGGCTCCCCTTGAAGTGCTCTGCATTTGTGTGACCACCGAATGCTCTGTCAGAGTAGTGTATTTTTTCGCATTTGCGGTGATACTTCATTTTCACTCCTGAACTAAATCATACACATAATATTATTTGTTTAATAAGGTTTTTGTTTGTCTGTCGTTGGTGTATTTAAATTCAACGCCAACGTGTGAAACCTGAAACAAAAAACAAGAGGCAACTCAGCGCACACAAAACGAATGTTCGACAGGCGAATAAACGAAATTCGATTAAGTGTCTTGTTTTCACAAACCCACTGGTACCGTCTTGGCTGCGCCATCGCGCGCGAATGTGCCAAGCGATAAAAAATAAAACGAAAGAATTAAAAGCTTTCCGCCGCGCGTCTCCAACACCTTTCCATAGATTTACTTCTTCGTATTCAGCGCCCTGCTCCCTGTTTGTCTGTTGGGCTGGTTATTTTTCTTTTTCATTGTCTCGCTAGGCCGCCTCGAAGTTTATTTGTGCTTGGGCGTTTGTTTTAAATCGGCGTCGCGCCGTATTGTGAATTGCTAAATGCGCGAAGAATTAAAATAACAAAACAATTTGTCTAACGGACAAACGATTGTTTGCCCCAGGGCGTTCGAATACAAACTTTTTCTATGCAAATTTAAATAATTAAAGCGGATTGTTAAGTTTTCAAGCTTTTTTAAACAAAAGCGGAGTTTTTTTCCCATTCAGGTTATACAATAGCTAAACTTTATTACTAGAGTTCGTTAAGTTAAATCAATCCAATAAATTAAATACACTCATAATCAATTTAGTTTAATACGGAAGTAAAGCGCACGTACGTGCTGGCGATTTAATGGATTCCTACGGAAAGCTTAAGAAACTCGAATCGTGAATTCCAAAGGCCACGCTGTTCGTTTCCGCCATTCAGAATTTTTCTCTGCTTTTAATTCCAAAAGCCTATTGTTGAGCAACCCTTTATTTTTTCCAACCAACGCATTGAATTCGGTGATTTTACATTGATATTCACGCACACATGCGAATAGATAAAGCGCACAGAGGAAAAAAAACGCGGCCCACAATAAACATTCATTCGGACCGCCAACGATACTAACGTGCAATAAATAAAATATCGGCCAATAGCGAGTTATAACGAGACGCATGCGAAAACATTCCCGGGATTGTGGGAGAAGGAATCGGTGAGTGCGTACACAGGCGTCGATTTCAATTGATGATCGGCGGCGGGCGCTCATCGAGTTTGCGGTTGAGACGCGTCGATTGCCATTAGGATAGAAAAGCACTTTAATCGGGTAAAAGTCTGCGCAAAGTTTTCTATCGTTGTCTGCGAAAAACAACAATGATATTGAATTTTTATATGGGTTTCGGTGCAAATCCGAGAAAAAAATATTTCGGCTAAACGAAGAATGAGAAAGTCGGTATTAAATTCAAGTGCTGCATTTGTGGGTAAAGAAAACATTATCACTGTTATTTACTTTATTGTCTAGACGTAAATTAAGGACGACCTTGCTAAACAAATAAACGAAATTTACACCGTCATTTAAGCGTACAAAACATAAAATAATTGGTTTCACAGAATATTATTCCAGCAAATTTAAGGCTTAGAGAATAAATTATGATATTCAATAAAGTTTTGTTTTATTTGTATTACTTCAATAATTATTGATTATAATCAATTACATAAACGAGTATTGTCTCCTAAAAGACAATTAATAGTATTTCAATACGGTTTTGGTTGTATCAGTATTGTCGTTTGATTAAATTATTAAGACGTTTAAGATCTCGTCTAGACATTGGTTTTTTATTCCCTGGAGAGACAAGGAATGATTCAATTTAGTTTAATTCAATTATAATTAAAAACAAATTCATGGTAGATAAAAAAAAGCTTTTAAAAGTTGGCGAAACAAAAATTACAGACGGAATTAAATTTATAGCGCAAATGTTATCTTTTTACGAGTGCTTTTAAATTAACTACTTTCCTGTTGAATAGTTTTATTGGCGAAGAAAAGTTGTGATACAGCGTACCATGTGCAGGCGCCGGGCATTTCCCTTCTGGTTTTTGTATTTTGCAGGTTTAACTTACGCTGCTCCTAAAAACCGTCAAACTAAAGTTAATACAGGACAGTATTAATTATTTCAACATAAATACAAATTTATATAATAATTATTTCTTATATAAACAAATTGATTAAAATGTTGGAGTTTAAATGCGGATCTGATTTAGTTTGCTAAATCCGTCGCAATTTAGTTGGCTTGTTAGCGAGATAATTTAAAGTTCGAGTTCATAACGCAGCGGCTGTACTCCTCGCATGCGGCGACCTTTTATGCGCTGCAGATGTCGCAATTCTGCGGCCGAATTATTCCGTCCCCCGGCGTTGCCGGAGCGCCGTGGACACCTCGAGGCTCGGGAAAGTGGCGATTACCGATTATCCACCAGCCGACTCTAAAGTTTCATAATAAAAGCGGTTTTTGGCCGCCTGTGCATCGACAACGCTGGCGACAAGCATTCGCGCAACTGCAACGCGGAACTTTGCTCATTAAGCGCGCCAGGCTCGACCCGACGACAGAAGTGAACGGAATGTCGAATTGCCATCCAGCGGCAATAGACCCCGGGTTGGTGTGGTTAATTTCAGACACTGTTGGCAATCTTCACATTGCGGTTGAATGGTATCCGATACTAACCACCACACAAATAATAAATTAGAAATCAGTATAAAAATTTTGTCTCACGGCGCACCTAGTACATATTTAACACTGATATAGTGTTATCGTATCTATTCTGGACAGCGGGGAGTTGATAGGTCTTTCTTAGCTTGACCGCGCCCAGTAATGGAAACATTGACATGTGGCACTATAATCCTCGAGAATTCCCATCAAAATCAAAGTCATTTT